CGATAGAAATATATTAAAATTAATATATTGTATAAAAACTAATACTACATTGAAGATAACATAACTTAAAAATTAAAAATTGTATAGTATTGCATAACATTTTTGATATTATATAATAAAAAAAGTACAATTTACACCAATGACCAAAACCGCAAATCGACATAAAAAATTATTTATAAGTACTTACAATAAGTTTATTTTGATAGCTTATATAAAATGTAAAAGGATGCTTTCCAAAAGATATTTAAAGAGAATAGTAATATGATATTAATCATTTTAAATGTATAGCACAGTTATTTATGATTTATTTTTTTGAAAATAATTCGATATTTTACAAAAGTAAAAAAAGAATATAATCATGTATGTTATACTAATAGTATACTTTATAATCAGTTGATCCTAACATCAGTCAGTTGTCCATTGCAATTTTTTTCTTCTTCTTCTTTTATTTTTTATATCGAATTTGCATCATTAATCATTTTGTGCGCAGATTCTAGAATAAGATCAAATCTTCTTAAAAAAAAAACAATCTCGACTATAGCATTGTATTTATCAAAGATAAATCTGTAAACAGCTGCTAGTCACAATTTTTCAGAAATATTTTTTATTTTATGCTATCAAACAGTAAACTCCTTGTTATCGATTGCAGAACTATGTTTAGTTATTTGATCGGGTGCAAGGATTATTCTAATGTCACCGTTTAACTTACACGATTCCTGCGCGAAGTCGTTTAATGATGATTCTTCTTCCGACTTCTTGTCGTCACATATAAACATTTTAAGTGAATCGGCTGGTGGTGTAGAAGTCGCAGGAGTCTCAGGAAGCGCGACAGGATACAGTTCTTTCTTATCTCCGTTAGCCTGAATGTACAGTTGATGATTCTCGAAAATCTTCTTCCCGACAGTGGTGCTTTTCGTTGATAGTTTGCGTTGATGTGGCAACGCGTATCTCAATTTATCCCAAAACCAGGGATCTCCCCATTCAACATAAGTATTCATGGATAAGTATGCTTTCAATTCTGGATCCAAGTCGTTGGTGGGTCCGATATCGCCGTACAGGATCAATATGACTCTCGCCCGACCGTCGCTCAACGCTTGACAATGCGCGGCCCGAAACTCCATTCTTCCCCAGACGCTGTCCAAGAAATTTGGCGACAGCACCACTATCGTTCGTCTGGAATTCTCCACGGATCTGGCGATGTTGTCTGGTATCCATTCGCCCGCTAACCAATCACGATAATGAAGGCACAATTTGAACGGCGTCGGGCCGCTCTCCAGCTTCGGCACCAGTTCGTCCATTATAAAATCGTCGTCCTTATGCGAGAAGCTCACGAACGCGTCGTACTGTTTGTCCTTATCCAGTTCCTCTTCCGTTACGAACCATAAACACCACTGATGCGCGAACAGCCATATTTTAATTTGTTCCTGATATTTGTAATACAATAATCCGAAAGTGCCGATAATTAATCCCAATAGAGCGATCGCTACGCTAATACTGATAATTGCTGCCGTATCAAACGGGCAAAAATCGGTTACGGTCATTTCCGATATAATCATATTGTTTCCGTCACACATCACTTTATCAACTTCGGATATCATCTGGAATTTTGTTTGAATGAAGTTTAAGAAATCCTTAGCATCGCAATCGCATATCCACGGATTTTCGTGTAATGTCAAGGTATTTAAGTGGGTAGAGTTTTTCAGAAAGTCCAACACTTTAGGAGGTATTCTTAATATGTTGTTATTGTGTAGTTCCAAGACCTGAAAGAAAATTCGATTTTAAATCTCTTGCAAAATTTAATACGATTTAATAATTTCCAAAAATTTATAATTTTACAATTCAATTTTTTAAAATTATTTTATTCATTATAAAGTAATTTAATCAAAATCAGAAATAATTTGTAAGTTTGCAAAAAAGGTAACTTTTTGTTAACTAAATGTTATTCATTTATTTTTGCATCATACACTACTTTGCAAAAGAATAAGAAACACTTTTCAAATGATTAAAATCGAGTAACTGTCAAACTACTGAAACTCGACGAAAAATCATTGCAGACAAAAAATTAAAAAAGCATTCTAAAGTTTCAAGTTCGTGCTTTCGTGTGTCTTAAACCGTTTTTAAAAATGTTTTGTCTTTACACTTCTAAATTCAAAAAAAGAAGTCAAGTTTTGTCAAATTATGGAGTGTTGAAAGTACCTGTTCTTCTCTTGAGCTTAAAAGTATGAAGATAAAAAATTTGTGGAAAACGACCCAAAACGCGTGAAAGTACAAGTTTCAAGCTTTAAAATGCTTTTTTAATTTTTTGTCCACGATGATTTTTCGCCGAGTTACAGCAATTTGAATATTGGTCAATTTTAAGCGCCTAAACATCTTGACGCGGCAGAGCAGTGCGGCCAAAAACGGCTGAGTGCGCGCCATTGATACGGCATCGTGCGTATTAATGGCGCGCGCTCAGCCGTTCAGTCAGTCGATTTTGCCGCGTCGAAATCGACCGATTTTGAAATCGCTGTAACTCGGTGAAAAATTATCGTGGACAAAAATTAAAAAAGCATTTTAAAGCTTGAAACTTGTACTTTCACGTGCTTTTAATCGTTTCTATAAATTTTTTTATCTTCACACTACTAAACTCGAAAAAAGAACGCATACTTTCAACACTCTGCAGCTTGATGGAAAAATTTTTTTTCGCAAAATTTATGACAAGTGTGTACTTCAAGCTTTAGAATGTGTTTTTGATTTTTTTGTCTGCAATTTTTTACCGAGTAGTTTAAAAATTGTTCGATTTTGAGTCTAAAAAGTGTGGCATAGTGAATATCTCTAGTTCTCTGTTTCTCCTTTTCTTGAAATTATTATCTGGATAAAATACAATAATGTTACGCACCTTTATTGTTGTGTTCAATCCATCTAAGGAAATTTCAGATATGTTGTTGTGAGATACAACAAGTTTCTCTACTGACTCGAGTTTCATTGTTTTCAAATTTGGCATATGCATTAACCAATTGTGAGAGAAATTCAATGCAAGATACGAAATCGAATCAATCGATTGTGTAAAGGCTCGAATCGAAGAAATATCAGGCTCCTTTATATCTTTTGGCACACTTGTTAAGTTTTTATGAGTGCAGTCGAATAAGAATGCTTTGTCCATTGGTCTCACGAAGCAATCGCATTTTTCAGAGCACACAGTAATAGAATCTGTGTTTTTTAGTCTACAGGTTAAATTTTTGGAATATTGCTGCGATGATAAGACATCGATGCGTAGATTCTTCAACTCTTCTGGACTATGACAATTTAAATTGCCTGGTTCTATATGGAAATAGTCATGGACGTGAGGGTGTATTTCGCCTTCCATGTAACGCAGAAAGTCATACATGTCGCAATCGCAACTTAACGGATTATTTTCCACCGATATTATTACGTTACGATGTTTAGATTTCTGGGCCATCGCGATACTTTCAGCGTCGTGTAGGAGTATATGTTGTATTTTATTATGAGTCAAATCCACTCTGATGTTGTCCGATACAAACTGCAAATCTCCTGCCTAAAGTTGAAAAAAAGAAGGTATCGTCATGTCTGTATCATCCTCAAAAACAATTTTATAAATCTAATACATGTATTACTTTCAGAAATACTATCCCAAATACTTACTTTTATAGAAGATATGTTGTTATATCTGAGATCCAATTTGTGAAGTTGTACATGAGTAGTAATCCAATCGCCAAATATTTTTGAGATATTATTGTTAGCTAGATGTAATTCTTCTAAGTCAATACAATCGTGAAAAGGCGATATTGTTCCGATCAACGGATCAATATAGTCAAAAAACGTAGATTGTAGTGTAAGATAGTTATTAGACAATTTGATAATCTTTAACTTTGTTAAAAAATTGAAACTGCGATCGGAAATATGCCTTAAATGATTTTGTTCCATATTTAATTCTTGCAACTTGTATAATCCATAAAATAGTTCCCTGAAATATATGAAAAAGATTCAATAAAACTATAAAAAGTATCAGCAATCGCTATTGATCATATAATAACAATGATTTAAACGTACCCGGAAATAGAAGCAATGCGATTCTTTGATAAATCCAATTTGACTAAATCAATGGTATTTGAGAAAATACGATCAGGCAAGTTTTCAATATCATTAAAACTCAATTCTAACGCTTTTAAATTTTTCAAATCCCGAAATATATGAAAAGGTAAAGATTTAAGATAGTTCCGATTTAGAGTGATATTAGTCAGCGAAGATGATCCCCAAAAAAGATCTTCCGGCAGTGTGATTAATCCATTCCGATCCAATCTCAATACTTGCAGATTCGTTAAATTGCTAAAAAGCCCATCGGGAAAGGTCATATTTCTTTTATTGTCAAATAATTTGATAGTGTGTAGTCTCATATTATTTTGTAGTAGATGTTTTGGCAAATCTGTAAAATTGTTCCCAAATAAATTAAGAACCTCCAGGTTTTCCAGCTTTGCAAATACGTCTTTCGGTAAGGTGGTTAAATAATTCCAGTGAAGATCGAGACTCTTGAGAGCAACAAGCCCATCGAAAACCCCCCGTTGAAGCTCAGTTAAACGAGCTTTCCATAAATTAAGGAATGTTAGATTCTTCAGCTTATCAAATGTGCCTGGTGGTATCAATTTCAAATTGTTGTCGCCTAATTCAATGGTCTGTAATTCGGGGGTGTAGTCGAAAAATCCGGCGGTTCTAAGATGTAAGTTGTTACTGAGCAGGTTGAGGTACGTCAAATTCCTTAAATTAGCTAACAGATTTGGTTTCACGTCGGATATATTGTTGTTCGATAGAACAAGACCTTTCAAATTCTCAAAGTCATTCAGATGACGCTTTTCCAAGTTCAACTTCTTGCCCGATTCAAAGTTTAATTGCGCCACGTTTATTGCGCCTACTTTATGCACAATGTCACCCAAACTGTTGTTGCCGTCGGGTAAGTCGCAATTTATGAATTCCACCTTTTCGCATTCTATCGGAGGTGATATACCCGAATGGAAATCTGACCACTTCGGTGAATTGATACAGCTGACCTGTGTGAGAAAATATTTGCTTTCGTAAACTTAAAGTTAAGGAAAAGAGGAAGTGTCTGAATTTAAAACTTTTTCGATAAGTTTGGTGTAAGATTGTAGATTAAGAAAATTTTTGAAGAAAAAACCGAACAGAAAATGTTTTTTAAAAAATATTTTGCGCTTTGAGAGATTTTGTTAAACATCGAAAAAAATGTAGAAAGTTCATTTTGTGTATCTAAATTTATCGCTCTTTTTAATTCCGGTTTTTCATATAATATTTTTAACAGTAATATTATAAGAGTACACATAGATTTCTGAAATTACATTTGTGTATAGATAAATGTGTGTAACGCTCTATAGTTTAATAAACACATACTTTTATGTATCGATTTTCTTCAATGCGGATATTGAAAGAACCATTTGAAATAGGCGTTACACAAAATATTTCAGAACCGCCGCTCTGTGTTAATTGACAACTGCACGCACTGTTTGCTGGACAATAAAGAGCGGAAACGCTCGCCGTAGTGATGAATAGAATCACGAGACATATTTCACGAAGGCTGATCATTTTCCAAAATGTCATGGCTACCTTAATCCGAGATCTGCTTAAACAAAGAAACAAAAAAGACACATTTTTATTATTTTATTACATTGGATATAATTTTCTTTCAATGCATTTTTTTAAGTCACACGCATATAATTCTCGATTAAATGATTAATATAATTTTTTGTCTTATCAACTCCACAAGATAAAATTGATGTTAATAGCAATATGAATAGCGTAAAATTCGTAGAATTCTTTTCCTTGATGAATTCTCGAGATAATTACGAACGGAAACTATTATGACTGTTATAATCACTAAAAGACTGGCTCACGATTCTTAGTATTGTTGTGATCCAGCATCATTTTAATGCACATTTCTTTTTCCATGAGATGCACAAGAATAAATTTCAAATTTTATTTAAAGTTTAATAGAAAAATGATGAGATTATGACTTCGGCATAAATTGTTATTATTTAATTATTCATATTATCATTACATAATATATAATTTGTGTTTCGTTTGCAGTAATCAGCATATATCTCTTGCTAATAAAAACAAGTATTACAAGCTTAGTATTGTGTAAATCCATGATTACGCATATTTTATCTACATCAATATTTATTCACAACTTTGTACACAGCAGATAGTTAATTCACAACAAGGAAAACACTGATTAAATTTTGTTAAATGTAAGATAATTAACGTTATCTTGGGATTTGTGGATAGAGAAAGTATTACATGTATTTTTCAAAATCTTTAGTTTTAAATTTTCCGATTGCACAATTAAAACATGTAATTTTGATCTAAAACTTTTTCAGAAATATAAAAAACGCAAAAGAAAACCATTATTCTTTGTTTAAAATATTCATACAAAATTATCAAAAAATATGTATAAAACGATCTTGAGCTTCAACGAATATCATATTAAATAGTTGTTGGATTAAAAATAATCTAAAAATAAAACGTTGATGACTTTGGATGTATATCTATGATGTGTATCTATCACATGACGCTACCGTTCGTGATCTTACATATCTCGTAATCGTACAAAAATGGCCTCACATTGTCGAACGTGTGAAAATGATATGTTATCAGTGTAATTAATTTCTATCAGCTTACATATAAAAACTATATCGCGAAATATTTTCATATGCAATTTCCTTTAGATAGTCATACTATATCAACTGTCAAATAAATATTGTTAAACAATTGACTGAAAATATCTTATGCAAAAAATGTAATTTATACATATCGTTGATAATATGATAACTAATGAGATACTAAGACTTCGTTAAATCGCGGGGATTTAAACGCAAACAAATAATACATTCGAGATTATATCTGCTAAATCTTGTAATTCTTTTTCTTTTTGCGTCTTTCGTTCGTATCTTTCAAAGAATGATTTTATTTTCCTCGTAAAATATTTACATTGAAATATAATTAAAACCAAAATAATGCGATACAAAAGCATGCGTGAGAAACTGTTGCAATTGAAATTGACTTTACCGGACTTTATCGCGTTCTAATTTCCTATTTTATCTTGCCAATTAAATGTCAAATTATTTGACATTAAACCTGTTGTCTTTGTCGAATTTTCTTTTCGTAGAACAAAATGTTACTTTAACAAGGACGAATCAGTAATGACAATTAAAAAGAACGAATGGCAATACTTTTGTAATTAATTCAACAATTTCTCGTAAATTTTTGCGAATAAATTCGCAAAGTGGAAGTTATAAGTTTTGTTTGCTGTGCAATTCACAGTCATATCTTGTGATTTCTGCGCTAAAAATGATATCGTATTTATGATAACGTATGTTTGCATGTCCGTATCTTCCAATTTCCTCTTTTTGTGTGCATCCTCTCTTATATACAGTAGTTGATTCTCCATGCACTCAGACTAACGTACATATGAAAAAAAATGTTTTTTTTCTACAAATGTAATTTTTTCTTATATAATTGCGCTTTATTGCAAACCGCAGATTGCGAAACACACATGTTTCATTTTAATTAATTCCAGTTTATTTCATGCAAAAAAGAAATCAATAGATATGCTGATTCAAAGTTCATAAGTAATTTATCTTTTGATTTTGCGATACAACGTTTCTCTTGCTTTCATAGTATTTGTACAACTGGTAAGACTCTACTTTATGCATGTGTTATATAAATAACAAATTAATCATGATATGAAACGTAACTGTAAAGTTACATCGGGCATTTCCCGGATTCTTGGAATTTTCAGTTGCCAAGTTACTGGGTTTTGTAAATATGGAATTTTGTTTGTCCATCGATGAATATCAGTGACAGTAAGAAAAAAAAGAAAATAATACAGAAAGAAAGTAGTATATCCTGTTCTGAACAAGATGACCACAACGGTTAACAGAACACGAATTTATAATGCGTGAACTGTCCTTGACGATCCTCCATGGACAAGTGTTTACGTCATAGCAGGGCTTAATTTAGCTATGCTATGAACTTGTGTCTTGTGCAAAAAAAGCAACAATATTGTTAAACGCTGTTTACCACGTATAGATATACGCGGTATAACACCGCCTGCAAATAAATTTTTCATTTTCTTCTTTAAATATTTAATGAAAGAAGAAAAAGAAACAGTGTTCGGAGAAATGAAGATCGAGTGATTGATTATTTTATGAGGAAAACGATTTTATCCGTTAACTGAAAAGTACGGCAATTGTTATTCGACGATTGTAGAACCCGCGTATTTTTTTAAATGCAGTAGTTAAATAGGCGTGAGTATTTTTCAGTGAATCCGACCCTGTATACATTGATCGCTAAGAGGCGGTGTCAGAACCGATTCATGGAACAGGCACCTAAGCCATTCACTTACCTGTCGCAATATGGTAGATCTACGTTGCGCTCATTTGCGGATCGTGTGTCGTTTCTACTTGAATTTTCTGCTCTATTGAAAGGCAGCAACAATTATCAACAATAATATCACGTTTAGCGACTCCTATCACAGCGTGTACACAGCGTGTCAACGTTCCGCGACACTCCCGTATTGGTTTTGTAATTACAATTACAATTACACTCTGTCTCTTTCACTCGCCACGTTTCATTTTAAACGCAAGCGATGTAAAAATGTTAATGTTGTAAAATAAAACTAAAGGTAAATTTTATTATAATGTAAAATTACAACTGACCGATCGAAATTTTACTAAAACAACCGAGCGGATCGCGCAGTTCGACGCAAACAGACTCTGAGTAATCGCGACCAAATTTCCCTTCCTACGTTCTTTCCCCTCCTTATTTATCCCCTCTTTTAGTATCTCTCTACTCTCTCATCCATACTTTATCCCTCTTCCGTTTGCGTTTACTTCTACTTATCATTAACATAAGTACGAAAACAGAAATCACGATGTGAGTGCGCATCTATTATGAAATATACCAAAGAATGAATAAAGATTACCGAATTATCGCTATAGAATAAAAAGCTTTTTTTTTGTCGATATTTCATACTGCTGTTGTTTGTCATATTTCTTTTTAAATTATTTCGATTTTATGCTGTGATTAATTTATATTTGGTTAATTATCTGCGTGACAAAATGTACGAAATATTTGAGATTCGTATCTTGATTGATACGCAGGCTTGATAAGAATAGTGGTAATAAGAGGGGCAATATATCAATGTTAAATGTTAAGGATATTTTCAAGATTGTGTTCCTATCATTAAAATCGTTGATGTACGATATAATATCGGTGAAACTCGTTGTGAAATTGTTAGGTGTTAAATACTGGAGCATTGTTACTTTTACAAATATACATTTTATTCATTTTTATACTTAGAATCTTACGTCATATCACTTGGTAGGCCCAGAACTTTATTGCGCTGTATTAAAACCTTATTTTTTAAAGAAAAAAATGGTCTAGAATGTTGAAATGTACGTTTCATTCATTTTTATGCTTTAGAATCTTATACCATAACATTTGGCAGATTAGAACTTTAGAATGTACATTTTCTTTACTGCAATACAGTGAAATCTTATATTTTAAATAACGAAATGATCTAGAATTCTAAAATATAAGATTTTGAAGCATCGTAGTAAACTTCTAGGCCTGTCAAATGATATAAGATTTTAAAGCATAAAAATAAATAAAATATACATTTTAACATTAATGTACATTTTATTCATTTCATAGATCATTTGATAGGCCTAGAACTTTATTTCAATGTATTAAAAGCTTGTATTCTGAAATTCTAGACCATTTCTTTGTTAAAATATAAGATTTTATTGCGTTAGAATAAAGAAAGTGTACATTCTAAAGTTTTAACCCAACCTAACCAAACAAATGTTATAACATTATAAGGCATTTTATTCATTTCTATATTTTAGAATCTTATATCATATCGATATGATATAAGATTCTAAGGCATACAAATGAATAAAACATACATTTTAACATTCTAGACCATTTCTTTCTTTAAAATATAGGATTTCAATGCATCACAATAAAGTTCTAAGCTTGCCAAATGATATGATATAGGATATTAAAATGTACATTTTATTTACTTTTATATCTTAGAATGCCTTAGAATCATATATTATATCATTTGACAGATCTAACATTTTACTGTGATGCATTAAAATCTTATTCTTTAAAGAAAGAAATGGTCTGGAATGTTAAAATATACATTTTATTTTTATGCCTTCTAATATTACAATCATAACATTTGTTAGGTTAGAACGTACATTTTCTTGACTGTAGAGCATTGAAATTTGCTATTTTAAATAAAGAAATAGTTTAGAATTCTAAAGTATAAAATTTCAATGCATTGTAGTAAAGTTCTAGACCTGTCGAATGATATGATATACAATTCTAAGGCATAAAAATATATAATATGCATATTTTAACATTAACGTACAATTTAATCAATTGAATTTTCTTTTTATATTATATATGATATTTTAAAGGCTAAATTGTGCCCGCGCAATACACGCAATGTTATATTCTAATATTATATAAAATATACAATAGTTAAAACTAAAATTAATAATTGTTTTATAAATATTTATATTTCTGATGCTTAGAGATATGGACAAGTTTTGTAAGTAGAAAGATGATACGTAATCAAGGTTTCTAAATTGTAAGAAATACTATATTTACGCACATTGGTTGTATATAACTAATTAAGTCAAACAATTGCAAACCATTGAGAAAGCTAGATTTTTGTTCGATGTTTCCGATTCTATGCAATGGCAAGTGACGATCTTCTGCACGCATATCGAGATGGTATTGTTTCAGATTATATAATTATAGTATTATAACATTTTAATAAAGCATCTTAAAAAATAAATAAGATAAAATATGGAATTAGTAGATTTTAGCGTTAATCTTATGTTACCTATCGTTCTTTTTCGTTGTTCATTTTCTTTTTTGTGTATTATTATGGAAAATAATTATTTGCTCGCAGTAGTCAAACGCAATATTTAGTCATACGGGATTGTAGAAATAAATATGTAAACAAAAGGAATTCGTATCAATAATAGCATATTAAAAAGGGAAAAATTTTGTGGCATAAATAGATAACTTCTGCTAATTAATAACAAGAAACATTATTAAGTTTTATTACTAACTTAATATTAATATTATCAGTAATTAAATCTTATGTTAGTTTGATTTGAACATTCTATAAAAAAATTCTAATATCTTAAATTCTGTATAACAAGTACTTTGGTCGCAACTTATACAGCTTTTTTACGTTATTTTGTTAGATTTAAAAAATATAATATAGTAAAATAATTATTTTCAAAATAACAACGTACTTACAAATACTTGTGAAGCAAAAAGTAGAATGAGAAAAACATAAATTGCAAATATGCACAAATGTGAATACGAGACGCGGCGGACATCGTATCGTTATCCTTTCGTTTTCCTGGTTTTGAAACACATAGATCTTCGCAATCTTCATCTTCGCATAGGTCACATAATGTTGTTTTTCTAGCCTCATAAAATACTCTTGCTCTTCTCGCTGTGTAAACACATAAAATATATTTTTAGAGATCTTTTATAAACTGTCTTATATTCTTTATTTTAAATTGTCTGTTAAATCTTTTTAAGTCAAATTGCGCTAGAAAAGCGCTTCAAATTATACTTACACGAGTCGTAATAATCGTATATAGAAACAGGAACTGGTTTCTGTTTAGCTACTTTGTGTGTCCTGAATGCGGATACAGTTGGACAATACTCTTGCTTCACCATCTGCGATAATAAATAATTCTCTTTACTTTTCTTATATTAATCGTATTTCTTAAAATCAGATTTTTGTGAAAGCAATTAGTTAAAGCAAAAAGTAAATTACGGTAATCAGTTGTCGTGTATGATTTGTAATGTACACTCTACCTTGTCGAAATATAAAACCACCATTGTGTCACCCTCTTTAGTTTCCACACGTTTTACATGCGATGATATTTCTAGACTCGGTAGAGAATCTCTGTCCACTGTAAAGCCAGATGGTAGGCTGACTTCCATAACGGCCATATTACTCTCGTTTGCTTCTTTAGTTGGAACAAATCTGACAACAGATAATTATTTTATTATAATTTTCAGCCGAGGAAATATATATTACTGTGTGAAAATTATATTACTCCATCTTTATTTTTCGTTTTTCGTTTAAGAAATCATTAAAGCGTTTCTTTCTCAGTCAGCGAATTTGAATAGCAAACAATGCAATGACGCATACATACCCTGAACAAATAGAAAGTTGTAAGTGATTGGCGTTGGAATTTTTGTCCACCTGAGGATCCAATGTAAACAATGGCCAAGCCCCGGTCACGTTTAGATTATACTGATAAGAGACTTGCACTAGCGCAAATCCTTTACCGGACGCTGTTATGTTGACGACTCGTGTTTTTGGAGGCAACTGGTAAAAACAAAGGCACGGAAGTATTAATATCACTTAATTGCCGCAACGACACGAAAACATAATGCACGCAATAATTCGTTTCAACGTACTATCTGCTTTTGAAGTATCATGGAAGTAGCGCTGTTTATACTCATGTACGTTTTGTTCCCATTTTCACCCTGTTCAAACGTGACTCGAACTGAATTTGTGTCCTTCGATAATTTCTCAGCGAGCTTCGCCAGTGCTTGAAGTCCAATCACGGTATCCTTAATTATACAAAATTACCATTAGAATTTTATATATAATTTAAGATAGAAATAAAAAATATATATAATTTAAAACTCTACACTGTTACGTATTTTACCTTACTTTTGAATTTACACTTGAAATATTAATTTTGCATTTTGATTAACTGCTTACTTGCGTCGAGGCGAAACCGCCTTCTGTATTTCTTTGTTTGATAAGCCATTTCATTACAGGAAATGCGTCAGCGACTAGGTTGCGTCTAATATATGTGAGTAAAGCGTAAGACGTCATCTCAACGTCGACGCAACGCGGCAAAGAGTAGTGCGGGTTTTTGTCGTCCTTCGAAACGGGTTTACTCCACCATTTGATGTCCTGTTTCGTCATGGCTTTCGATTCCAGGAAGTTAAACGCAGACGTTTCATACGGATGATTCGCTAAATTCAAGGCGTAGGCGCACAAACTCAATGCATATGTATCGTTTAATCCTTCGAGATTGCGTACGATGTAGTCAATGGCCTTATTTATCGTATTACGGTGTTTTCCTGCAGAATCCTGTAACGTGTGTTTAATCTCAGTACTTATACAACATAAAAAATATAATTTTTATTTTGCGTATTGCTTTTAGACGACATATTTTTTGTGAAACAATTATTTCTCCTCAAATATAATATTAGACAAATTAGTATGATTATTAAATACTAAATGATTGTGTTTATACCTCATTTTCTAGGAAAGCAACGAGCGTATATGCCGTTAGAGCAAGACCCTTCGCGGCTCCGCCTTGCATATCGCGATGGCTCACTTTTCCCACCTCGGGGAAAGAGCCGTTCGGAGCTTGATTATTGGACAACCATTCCAGAGCTTCGTTTATAATCCTATCCTCAATCGTTATGTATTCTGCCGCTTGTTTGAAAGATTTCGCCACAAAAGCGGTGAGCCTGACGAATAGAACAATTTCGAATCTTAGATAACAAGTTTGTGAACATAAATGTAATATAAATTGTTAAACAATGTATGCCGGTTTTATTGCACGTACCATGTACTTCCAGTGGGATCCGACATGCCGAATGCGCTGAAAGAACCATCGGTATGTCTGTAAGTCAATTCTCGTTGATAACCGATGTTCAAATATTTTAACGCTTTGCTTTGCACGGCTTGTGTCAATTGATTCGTATTCTGAAAAAAAAAAGTTACTTTGTATAAATTACATATTTACGCAAAGACGGAGAGGGTAAAATGTTATTTTGGCATTACCTTAAGATAATCTAAAATGACGATGTTCGGTACGAAATTCAGCATATTCTGCTCGCCGCATCCAAACGGCATTTTGATCAAATTCGCCAAATTTGGAATGCTCGGGCCCAAGATATCGCCTAAACAATGAAAAATAGTTTGTCAAAGTATTCTACAGAGTAAACTTGCTTGAGTATAAAATATTGGAAGCACAAATAACATATGATCTAAGCATAATTACCGACTGCAGAAATCTGTATGATTTCGGAACCTGGCACTGCATTGTTCGGTATATCGATGGTAATATTTGCACCCGCTTGTTCAACATTTCTTAAGTCCAAGAACACCGCTTTGTTCTTGTATTGCGTTTCTCCCTCAGCCTTAAAGTATAATGATATTACGTTTTAATGTCACGTTGCAAAAGACTTCATAATTAAAAAGTGTATATAAAGATTATTACTTTAACAAGTAATTTATGTTCAACGCTGTCGCCAGCCAAGACGCTGCTGGCGGTCGCTTTTATCGTAATGTATCCCAGTTCCTTCGGAATAATCATGAACGATACACTCGAGCCAGAATTAGCTTTTACTTCTATTTTTTTCTTGCGATACGGTTCCAATTCTGAAAAAAAATTATTAGTTCTTGTAAATCTGTTCTAAATATTAGAATTTATTCTCATTAAACATAAATTAATTATTATATTGTTATCCTCCCATCACTTCTAGACTTAACGCGTTGACACTTACTTGGAACATCGTGGACTTCATTAGAGACTTCTGCGAAGTCGAACTCTTTCTGCTCGTAAAGCAGAACTTCAGCTGTCACATCTTTATTCATATAATTGAACACCACAATCTGTACTCCTACGATCTCCCCGCGTATCACTGAATACGGCAAGTCCACGGATATGAAGAATGGTTTGAAGACTTTCAACTGATAACAGAAAAGCGAACAAATAGCATCTAATAAATTAAAAGAAAGAAAAAGAATCTTTAGAAAAAAAATCAGTGAAATAAATTGGCGAGGCAAAATTAATATGTGTACAAACAACAACCTTTCTGGGTTCCTCTATGAGACCTAAGCCATGCGCATCGTTCACGGAGAACGCAGTCAGCACCCAGGAAGTGATGGAGTCTGGCACAACTCGTTTCAGTTCAACTTTTCCTTGATACCTACGAAAGTATTTACACATACTTAATTCTTTCAGAATTTTGCAACGAGATAAATTATTTAGATCGTCAAGATTGTAGCCTACCGTTTAGATAACAAATGAGCTAAGATATATACCTATTTAAAAAAAATTAATGTTTAATGCAATGATAAAAAAAAGAAAAGATAATGTCGCATTTTTCTGCCAAAGCAACGATACAGACAAACTGATGTAATAAACGTGTGTTAAATAATTCATAGATATTCGCATCCTTCACCTTTACAAACACATAGACACATATTTTCACGCAAATGACGTAAACAACAAACAGTGATGCAAATAAAAATCGATTTTTGATGAATAACATGACATTATTCAAAAATCAATATGCATGATACACGGAACAAGCTCTGTCACGCAACCTGCAGTTTACGTTCTTAAGAGAAAGTACAAGATCGCACCTTTACCTGAATCAACTTTCACGTAGCGATAAATTGTACAATGCAGCATGTACGTTATTTACAGATATACAGGGTGTTGCTTGGAGAAAATGGAACTCGAGAAAACAATTCACGCTCTGGAGTGAACGATGTCCCGGCTTGAATTGGGAAATTGTAAATAAAATAATTACCTTAACTCGTTTTACTTGGACCAGTAGCTTGTAGATAGCTCAACACACCCTGTATACATACCGCACATACGAAAAAAGACGTGCATTAACTAAAAGTATACAAGATACGAGATAAATACCCTGAAGAGAAGTTTGTGAAAAGCCAGGTGTTTAAGATGTCATGCATTAGGAATACACGGGGCTTATTCCAGACAGGAGGTGGGATGCGAGAGAAGGCGTAAGGACCTGCCAGCGGTGGTCTTGTCGCTAATCTGTGCGTGACAGGTGGACCAAGGTCTGGTCGAAGCGTGGACACCCCATGAGGCGAGCCCGTTATTCTACCCTCCAAAATTTCTGGTCCTGCAATCCAATTCTGTATATTGTATCGTACCAACCCCGACGTTATATATACAATCATAGATCACCTGGAATAACTCTAATGCATAAAAAAATTAAATATACAAGGTTAGATTAAAAATTGTAGACTTGTGCAGGACGCATCTCTTCAGTTTTGCGCACGGCGCGACAGACAAACGTTATATTTTATTCTACTTCGCATCTAACGTTTGCTCGTGTTTCTTAACTTCTAAAAGTATTTTTTAAAGAAATAGATTCCCATAATTAATACTGATATATACATCATATTCTACATATTCCGCAAAATTTTTTAAGTGACAAATAAACTGTCGTAAAATGCGAAATTCTGTCTTTTGATCAAAAAATGATGAAAAATTGAACGATGAGCGCAGTAGACAGATCGAATCCGGATTGTATGAAACAAATATGTACATTGAACACAGCATACACTAAACTTGAACAATTCAGATGAAAGACCCTGAAAAATTAAAGATTTTACCCGCCACCATCCAGCGCCGTTACCCATTTGCAAAAATTCGATATACAATTTTAACGCAAAGCATTTTAATTTGCAGTATTTCTCGTGGTGTGCATTTCGTTACTGTGTTAATACGCTGATGCAATAAACCAGTGTGTGAATTGATATCAACATTTTTATCGATCCTTCCACTTTATGGAAGAGGTCACACCCCCCACCACAAGATAAAATAGCAGTTTTAGAAGAAGAAATATTACAGAAAAGTGATGAATGGACTCTTGTTATTCACTGATGTAGCGAAACAAATATCTGAGTAAATCAAATCAAAATTGACCAGTCGATCTACAGAAATAAGAATGTATGCATGTATGTATGATAACTTATTATGTCATTGGCATTACCCAGCGTCAAGCATTTGCCAAAGCCAAGTTTCAGGGAAATTCTTGCGAACTTTCATCTTCTCGGGTGGTAATTCAGCTGGGCCTGAGACTCCCGCAGCGGATGCAAACATTACTCCATCCAAACTAGCCCTGTAGTATACTACACACATACAAGCACGGTTAAAAAAAAATATATATATATATATATATCT